TATATATATATAATATACTTCAAGCCTTTATTTGTTTTAAGTTTGATGATAACAGCCTACGGGCTGCATGGTAGGTAGCACCGTTACCTCTAAGCTAGAAGATTCCTGATTCGCGTCCCGGTTAGGATGCCTGGGATCTTTCTGTGTGGCGTTTGCATGTTCTCTCTGTGCAGCGTGGGTTCTCTCCAGGTTCTCCGGCTTCCTCCCAAAATCCAAACACATGCTGAGGTGGATTGGTGATTCTAAATTGTCTGCAGGTGTGAATGTGAGGGTGCTTGTTTGTCTCTCTGTGTGGGCATTGATGGGCTAGCGACCTGTCCAGGGTGCCTCCATAGGCTCCAGCCCCCCAACAACCTTAGTGAGGATTAACTGGTATATAGACGGATGATGGATGGCTAATGACTTATAGCTCATTAAACCCCCCAACAATCTATCACAAAATATTAGAATGTTTCAAAAGATCAACTGAAAAAATGATTTATTATGCAGACATTAACAAGTATGTTCATGTATGCTCTGTTAGTACTTAGTTGAGGCTCGCTTTGCTCGAATTACTGCAGCAATGTGGAAGCAATCAGCCTGTGGCACTGCTGAGGGGTAATGGATACCCAGATTGCCTTGATAGCAGCCTTCAGCTCTTCTTTATTCCTGGGTCTGGTTTGTCCCATTCTCCTTCCAGCAACACAGCACAGATATTCCAAGGAGTTCAGATCTGGTGAGTTGGCTGGCCAATTTAGCACTGTAATGTCATGGTCCATGAACCATTTGTGAGTTGTTTTGGCAGAGTGGGTAGATGCCAGGTCCTGCTGGACGACAAAATGTGCATTTCCAAAAAGATCTTCAGCAGACGGAAGCATGTAGTACTCCAAAATCTGCTTGTAGTTGATTCTGGTCTTGATTATGCAGAGTGGACCAACACGAGCAGATGACATCGCACCCCTGAACATCACTGACTGTGGATGCTTTATACTCTAGGCTTTAAGCAACTGTAATGCTGTGTCTCTGCACTCTTTCTAAAGACTCTGGGACCTTGATTTCCAAAAGAAGTGCAAAATTTACTTTCATCTGGAAAGAGGACTTTGAGCCACTTAGAAATTGTCCAGTTTAATCTGTGCTTAGCCCAGGTAAGGTGCCTCTGGCATTGTTGGGTGTTAAGGAGTGGCTTGACAATAAGAATTTGATACATGTGGCCCATTTCCCAGACATCTCTGTGCATGGTGGCTCTGGATGGACTAGATCCAGCCTCAGGCCACTGCTTGTGAATCTCTCCCACATTTTTGAATCAGATTTTTTTGACCATTTTCTGAAGTCTGCAGTCATCCCTGTCGCTTGTGCAGCTTTTCCTACCACACTTTTTCCCTTCTTGTAAAATTTCCATTATTATGATTTTATACAGCACTCTGTGAACAGCCAGCCCTTTCAGCAATGTACTTTTGAGACTTACCCTCCTTGTGAAGGGTCGCAATGATTGTCTACTGGTGTACTGAACCAGACTAAGAAATTAAAGACTCATTGTAAATGTCTTGAATTAGTTAGCTGATTAGAGTTCTACTCAGGATTTGTGGGAGTGTCTAGGGGTTCTTGATTGGCATCTCTGTGGCCCTCTGTGAAATATTCTAGTATTTTGGGATTGATTCTGGGTTTTTTTTTTTGGAGGGGGGTGGGGGGGGAGCTTGAGCTGTAAGCTGTTATCATTTAAACTGATACAAATAAAGGCTTAAAATATTTCAGTTTATGTGTAAAGAGTGAAAATGTATACAGTTTTCACTTTGAGCAATGTCTGATTAATAATATAGAACTCTCTCCACCATATTCTAATTATATGAGATGTTCCTGAAAGACAAAAAATATGGCATAGAATTAATACTTTAAGCAAACTATGGAAGCAGAGAAACATCCATGGAAGAGGAGAAATGGTACATGGCAAAACCAGAAATTCTGAGCTCGTAATGTCCCCCCTGCTAATAAGAAAAACACACTGAATACTGCAAGTAAATTTCAGATAACAAATAACTGATTAAAACCAAAGTAGTTAATTTGTTTCTAAAGTTACATGCACCTTTTGACATTTCACTGATACCATGTGTTTTTCTGTGTGTAGGGTCTGAAAAACCAATCCCGGATCAAGCTGAACATTGTGAGATGTCCCCCTGTGACAACTGTGCTCATCAGACGACCAGACCTCCGCTACCAGCTGGGCTTCAGTGTCCAGAATGGCATAGTGGGTAGCACTGAGATTCTGTTCTATGTTAAATGATACCCACAGTTCTATCAAAATATTTGAGTGAAATAATTGCATTTTAAAAGAACTGACGGATTCTTTCAACAGATCTGTAGCCTTATGCGCGGTGGCATTGCTGAACGGGGTGGGGTCAGAGTGGGGCATCGCATCATCGAGATCAACAGCCAGAGTGTGGTAGCCACGCCTCATGAAAAAATTGTCCATATCCTGTCCAATGCTGTGGGAGAGGTGAGATGTCACATTGGAAATAATACTGGAATTTGGATCCTTTGATGCAAATAAAATTCTAACACTTATTTGAAGGAGCTGTGGGGAAATATCACATTTGCCTTACAAGTCCAAAAGATTATTAGAGTTATTATCAGTGAAAGACAGCTCAGATACTGAGTAGAAAAAAAGCATCAGATGTCTCCTTCATTGACTTTTTAGGTTGCACTTGCTTAGAAACAATAGCTACTGTACATGACACCCAAATGTGCATGCCCGTGCACCCAGTATAAGCAGCCCAGCACATAAAAACACAAGTCAGAAACGGCAAAAATATAATTATCTTCAGTCAGTTAAAGTAAATGAATTATATTTCATACAACGCAGTAACAGGGACCTAACAGATCCTGCAGTGACAGTAGCAATTATTGCTGTTCATTAGGATGTCCTGTTGATAACAATGACCTCTGCTACAAAGGTATTTAATAATATAATTCCATGATGTATTCCTTCTTCATTTTGTGTGTCTCAGATTCATATGAAGACTATGCCTGCAGCCATGTACCGCCTGCTGACCGCCCAGGAGCAGCCAATTTACATTTAATAAGCAAAGCCCTGACCTCACATCCTTTAAACTTCCTGCAATCAATTCCCACTCCTTAAGGCAAGCACCTCAGCCCAGCCGAGTTCTCATCCTGTACAGCTGATGGACTGTAGTGCGTTGTTGGTAACATTGGTCTGTTGCTCAGACTTGTCTTGTGGCAATAGTGAAACCCAAATTATCCATCTGTATTCACTAAAAGACTTGTTTTCTTACTTTAGTTAAAGACATGGTTAGTAAAAGGATGTTTACACCTAATGCATTTTTAACACCTAGTACTGTCCCAGATTGCTAAACTTATCTTTGTGCTTCACAGTTGATGTTTGAAACTCCAACACAAAGTAAGAAACTGGGAGCGTAAGGGAAGCGTAGGGAAACTAAGACAGTTTGTATCACACAGTAGAAACCTCATTTTCATGAGCTTGGAACTGCAACCTGCATAACCAATCCTGACTGTACCTTCACCCATGCTGCCATTGCATTGGCAGGAGACTTCCTGTGTCTAGGTACATATCCGTCATCAAATCATTTCCATGAAAAAAATACTTCCGTGCATTTACATGCTCATGTTGTAGCTACATTTCTTGGGACCAAGCCTGTTTTCACTCTCAGCTCCTCCGCTTATCAATTCTTCTCATCACACACATGCTCTGTGTTGGTGCACAGAGACCTCCACAGAGAATCGTGGTAATAAGTGATTGTGTCAAGACACTGTCACACGTTACATTCCACACATTTGCTGCATTTTTGTAGCATCAATGCTGCAGCTCAAGTTTGCACTCATTTTTTCAACAGTAAAGCTTTCCAACTCCACTGTTAGAAGTTGTTTTAGTAGGGGTTGTGTTTCCATGTATTCTCTGTAGTTAGCACCAGCAGTAGCTCCAGTTATCATGTGATAACCCCAATTAACCTAGTACACCTCTTATACCACAGACCTATGTCCAACCAGTGTGTCCAAAGATAGAACTGACAATTTGTTATTCTCAAAGTGTTTGCACAAAAAACACAGGAATGGAATGTTGCTTGATGCCCAGTAATGTTTTAGTTCCACCGGGCTGATAAATGTATGGAAACTTCATGCATTTTTCCAGCCAGAAACACTAAAATACCACTCTACCTATAGCATTACGCAGAAACAGTACCAGAAACCCATTTTTTTTATTTGGCTTCTACAAAATTAAAACAAAATTAAAAAAGAAAAAAAGTTCATTTTCATAAAATATTTAACAATGTACATTTGCTAGTTGAATAATGTAACCCCAGATAATGGGAAGTGGGCTTATACTCCCATTTCCCATGTCAATATGTGCTTTCGGAGGACTCTGCAGAGCCTAATGTATGTATGCTAAACACTGCTTGTTGCAAATATGAATACAAATAATGTTCAACCAATTGCAGATTTTCTAGTCATAGCTCAAATCATGTGTGGCATGAGCAGACAAAGGTTGGTTTTTAAAGCACATATACTTAACCACCCTACTGCTGTTTTTCTTTTTGACACAAATACATGTTCATGATATAAATATAAATAATAAATTACAGTTGCTTTTTCTTTACCAGTCTTTGATCAGTGTTAGGTCATTGGAACTTACCCTTTGAACAGCTAAATGGCTTTTAATGATAAACAGTGGTTTGGTGTCAAGAGTCACAGATAGTATCTTAACAATGAATGGGTTAGTTAGGGTCAGTGTTAAATTTATATATAAATATATATATACAGTCATGGAAAAATGATTAGATCACCCTTGTTTTCTTCAATTTCTTGTTCATTTTAATGCCTGGTACAACTAACGGTGCATTTGTTTTGACAAATATGATAACAACAAAAATAGCTCATAAGAGTTTAATTTAAGAGCTGATATCTAACCGCTTTCCATGGTTTTCTTGATAATAACCAAAATCACTTAAGTTCTTATATCAATAGCTATGGTCTAACCCTAACCCAAAAACAGTGCTTTTATGCATTCCATGTTTTCTTTTCTGTCTGTTTTAGTCACATGATACACACAGGAGTTAATACTTGATTGTATAACCATTGTTTTTGATGACTGCAGCCATGCGTCTTGGCATGTTCTCCACCAGCTTCTGGCATTGTTCTGCTGTCACAGCAGCCCATTCCTGTTGCACAAATTCAAACAAATTTTCTTTGTTTTTGGACTTGTGGTTCTCCATTGTGCATTTGATTTGAGGTTTTCAATTGTATTTAGATCTGGTGATTGAGCAGGCCAAGGCATGGTTCCAATGTTCTGGTTCTCCATCCAGGCTTTAGCTGACCTTGTCATGTGGCAAGGGGCATTGTCTTGTTGGAAAATCCAGTCACTGGAGGCAGGAACGAGTTTTCTAGCTGATGGAAGAAGACTGTTTTCAAGAGTAGCCCTGTACATGACCTGGTTCATTCGCCCTTCACACAATTGCATTTGCCTTGTGCCACCTTAAAACAACCCAAGATGATCACTGATCCACCCCCATGTTTTACTGTTGGGGCAAGACAGTCTGGTTTGTAGGCTTCTCCAGGCTTCCTCCTAACCAGTAAGTTGGGTTAGGGTTGGTGGGCATCAAGTGAAAATTGGATTCATCACTGAAGAGAACCTTAGCCCAGTCATCAACAGTCCAATCCTACTGATCCCCACACCAGAGTAACCAGGCTTTCCTCTGCCTTTTGTTGATGAAGGGCTTCTTCTGTGCCCTGTGTGACTTCAGACCAGCTTCAAGAAGTCAGTTTCAAACTGTCCTTGCCCAACAAGTCACATTTCTCGACAGTGCCCACTCATTTTTAAGGTTCCTGGAGGTCTGATGACGATTCCTGACACAGGAACGGATGAGTGCACGGTCATCTCGTGGGGTAGAAAGACATCTCCTGCTGCGACCTGCTAGCAATGTGGTGGTACCATGTTGGGCTTGTTTTGTCTTGGTGTAATGAAGATCTTAGAGATCTTCAGTTTTTTTCGCTGTCATGCCAATTTCCAGCAGTGCCAAGATGGCTGCCTTTGTGGCTTCACACATTTCTGTTGTTTTAGGCATTATGTGAGAGCTGACAACTTCTGAGTTGTGCTACAGCTTGAATGTAAGCAGGAAACCACTCTAGGCCTTTTCATGTGCAGTGCTGCTTATGACATGAAATATATACCCTGTGAATATAATTAAGCTTAAGCATGTCAAATAGGGCATAAAGTATGTAGGAATCAGCTGCATTATTTGTCGTGTTCATTGTATTCTTCAGGTAATGTACTTTTCGTGGTACCAGGCATTAAAATGAAAAAGAAACGGAAGAAAACAAGGGTGGTCTAATGATTTTTTTCATGACTGTATATAACAGCAAAGCATAACTGGGAAGTGTGAGCAACAACAATGAGGACTGGTGATTATGATATGACTCTGTTGTTGTTTCATGAAATTAGTGCTGAAGAAATGGACAATAATGCAAAATTTATCAAGGCAACAGGTACACCTGTTGTGTTGTATGTGTTTAGTTTGTATAACCAGCAAACTAAAAGACAAGCAAATCAGCAAACAGGGAGGCTTTTTACCAAAAAATGAATGTGATGGACTTGAATGGGTGTCACTACATTTTACATAAGGGCCCAGACGCTATTTGAGAATGTACAGTAATCAGCAGACAAGTTCAGGTACAGCTCCTTTAACAAATAATGAAAGTATAATAAAAAGCAGTGTAGTTATTCCAATAATCAAATTTCCATTAATTAATTAAATGTAACTGCCAGACACATTTATTGATCACCAAAGACCTCTTCCATTCACCTTCTATTGTGTAGCACCATTTAATAACCAAATTTGTGAATGGGTGACAGTTGTTTGAGTTTTACAATGATGTGGCATTTTGGGATTTTTTTTTTGTGTGTGTTATTGTAAGTGGAATTCATGAAAAAGGTTCATCATTTTTATGGAAGGAAAGAGTTGGAAGGAGGGACATTTTGCATGACAACATTATGTGTTGTATGACAAAACTGTATTTCCTCTTTCATACCGTGACATCATTCAGAATTTCATGTCTACTAAAGCTCCACTGCTCACTGTTTACTTTTCCCCCAATTGTCCCTTTTATGCAAACTGTTCACATATTTAACTGTTATCACAAGTGCAATGACTTCTATGTTATTTTTGTCGACAAACTTGAAACATGATTCTTTTTTATATCTCCTAATCATTCGATAATATTCTGTATACATACGCAAATACATCATTGTATGGTATTTTGCTTTTCACATTTGAATGGTGCTGGCCATTTTTAAGGTGCATTGTAATTGTTTTTTTCTTGTTTTTTTTTTTTCATCTTTAACAAAAATCAGCTTGAAACGACTTGGGTTAATTAATCCATAACTACTGCTGTTGTAAAAGTTTCCAGTTTCTACAAGGTGATCTTTTAGACCGTTGAGAAATGAGTAACTCACTGTATGTAGACTTCGGATATAAGCCTGACATTTCCTACGTGCATTTCACACATCTTTCTCCTTGCCTTCAGTCATCTGTGTGTTACATTTTCAAAATCCTCTTTGCTCCAGGAAGCAACAACAACAACCTCTAAGCAGCAACCGACATGCTGAAAATTTCAAGTTTTGTTGAAGATTTGAATGATGCAGTAAGGCATCCCTGCTTGTTTTTTCAGTTAATTATCCATTTTAATGACAGTGCTCATCTCCCTGCATGCAAATGTTCAACCAAAACAATTCCCCATCACTATTTCAAAGCAGCACTGTTGCTGTATCCAGGGCTCAGTACCCTCTGAGGTAATTATGATGGGTTTACAGTAATACAAATCAAAAGCTTTTTTCCTGGACGTCAGTGTTTTTTCCCCTACAGCAGAATTATAGTGAGGTGCAGTCAGACCATTCTCCACAAAGAGAAAAAAAGTACTAGAAAATAAGCAGACTGCCTCCAAAAAAAAAAAAAAAAACAAGAAAAAAGAAGTTTCTATTGTGGAAAATGTTAGTAGACAAGTAGACAAAAAGCAGTGGGCTACTTGTGTTCCTGACACTGGAACTGACGATTCAAAAATGGTTATATCTTCAAATTTCCACCAAGATATTTTAAATAGACGTGTTTTCGTAGCAGCACTGAAATCATATAAGACAAACTCACATTAACTCGAACACAAGTAAAGCAAGAAGGTTTGTTCTGTTTGTACAGAGAATAAGGGTAAAACGTGCTGTTACAGGATTTTTTTTAATGTGCCCACTTGTACAGTCCTGTGCAAAAGCAAAAGTTTAGTGAGGATGGTTTCCAAAATACTGCCATGAATCTTTATTTTTAATACATCGCCTTCATGCAAAGTGCAGAAAAAAGGATGAAATAAAAATCAGCACTTTGTGTAAGCACCTTTGCTTTTCAAATCGTAGCAGTTCTACTTCGTAGACCTGTACACAGTTTTTAAGATACTTGGCAGGAAGGCTAGCAAATTAGCCAGTTCGTCTGTAGATTTTTGGCATTTTCAGACAGAACACAGTGTACAGTGCATCGTGTCTGAAAGGACGCACTGCTTGTGAGGAGTCACGCAGCACAGAGCAAAATAGGCATAAAGACATCACCTCATCCTTTCAAGCACAAAGCTTTTAGTTTGTTTCAAACACCTCAACAATGGAGAGGACTTGTTTCTATTAGTCGCTAAAATACACGGAAGCACATTTTTAACTGATCTACTGTAACTGGAGAACGTTTCCCACAAAGGTTGACAAATACAATAAATCTTAGTTTCTGGGTTGAGATGTCACACTTAAACATATGGAGAAAAAAAATTTAAGAATGAATTAACTAGTTGATTGTCTCTGGTAGTACTTAAGGTATTATAACCACAGTCCTAGTGTATAAATTGGTTTATTCATGTGAAGTGGTAAATTAGATCATTTTTTATTTGTTTATTTTAATTGAAATGAGCAGTTCTCAAACAAGTCACGAGCAAAAATATCTCGTGATTGATCTGATTGTTTGAATTGGCACATTTTTTCTGTAATTCCTCAGGTGACAGTTCAAAAATATCAGTCAACCAACAGTCAAGTTGTATTTTTTATTTCTAAGATACAAATCAGATCTTGTTTAATTTTTATTTGAAACTCAAAATATTTGTATTAACTTGTTTCTTTCTTTCTTAAACACAATTAGTACAACGAGTACATGTACTGTTTTTTAAAACTGCGGTTCATCAATACAAGTGTTTTATGTCTTTTGAATCAGACATCAATTCAAGCAGATACTTTAGCTTTCACTGAAGTTGACTGGATATTTGATACTTTGATTGACTGTGGTGACAAATGTTTTTAGAGTTTACATAAAAATGGTGAGTTACTTTTTGTTGATGGATGCAAATCCTCTGTCTTAAAATTAACCTAAATGGAGATTTACTCCACTCCTAACTTATGGCGGGCTGTTTCATTCAAACGCTACACCAACCTCATCGATCTCATCCTCTTTCTCTGGGAATGTACCTGCTCCATCACGTGTCAGATTCTGTGAACAGGACTTGTGTTCACCTTTCAGACCCTTATATTTTTAAGACTAACATATTGCTCCCTGTATCCCCCAACTTCAAAACCCTGTGCTTATTCTAAATGTCTGTCCTTTACAAAGAAGCTTAGCTTGGCCTTACTATTACTACTGGACTTTTCATGATGTGAAAACTGATACTGAAGAAGAATAGGGGTGAAGGCAGCCAATTTTGGACTTAACATGAGCTTCTCTGGAGTCATGCAATTACGCTGTACTGTTCTTTCTTCTAGTGTATATGTGTGGTGTATGATTACAACCAATGTACTCCATATAAAAGAACTGCTATATATATATATAAAATATACATATAAGTATACTATATAGAACTATGTAAAGGTATATACTTCAGTGGCTGTTTTGTGTGTTTGGGTTGGCCTATAATCAGACTATGTCAATAGAAAGAATCTTTAAAGGTGAGTGGAATGTAGGAAATTGATTGTGTGAAGTGACATTCATGTATATATACAGCTACAGCACAAGTGTGGTAATATTTTCCCTCTGGTCTGTCAGGGATTATAGGCTAGCTCAAGACAGCTAAGCTATCAAGGACACAAGCACTTGAACCTAGGCAGGGCAGGCAAATAAGTATTTACAAATGCACTCATTTTGAATGTATATGAAACATTAACTCTCAGCGTGTCTAAACATAAAAGCATCCAAGAAAAATGGCATTTCTGTACTGTAGCAGCAATGTTTATTTATTTGCTAGCTTTTTTTTTTTTTTTTTTTTTTTGTGATGTTCTTGCTGTTGGAGCTACATTTCTGTACCACAATGTTGGTAACAGTAATTACAACAATAAATGACTCGCAGAGGGACTCTGACTTAGGCTGTGGTTTTTAATTTATCCGTGCATAAACTTGTTGCTGAGAATTTTATGCAGTTTGAGTTCTTTTAATGAAAAAAGAAAGAAGAAAGTTTTATTGCAGCTTGCTATGTCTCCTGTGTAGGGGAGAGGGAAGAAGATTGCATGTTGTGTGACTCTGTGCTGTTGGCAGTTTCCAACTACATGACTAAAGCCATGGATCTGGCTGACAATGTTGAACTGCACAGTGTGGCAGTTATCCAAATTATTCCCTGCTTTAGTCTCTTAGAATGCGTGCTTGCTCTTACCTCTAAGTGTTGCAGTTGCCCCTGAAGCACAGATACAATATTACATGTGAGTCATTTGCACCTTCAAATGCAAACCGTGCAAAGCTTTAGCACCCAACACTGCCACCTGCTGCTCAGTCTGTTAGCTTATTCGAATTTTACTAACACAACAAACTTATTGTGTATAAAGGAAATATTTTCAAACTCCTTGAAGAAAATGAATGACACTTCAGAAATACCTCTTCTACTTCTCCAAAATCCAGAGACATTTAAAAGTTTTTTTTTGTTTTTTTGGTTGTTTTTTTTTCACCTTGGTGCTGCTATTGAATTTACCAAAATTATACTTTTGCACAGGCTTCACGGTGACTTGGTTCATTAGCACCGTCACCTCACAGCTAGAAGATCCCTCGGCCATGTCCCAGCCTGGGCCTGGGATTTTTCTGTGAGGAGTTTGCATGTTCTTCCCATGCAGTGTGGGTTCTCTCCGGGTTCTCCAGCTTCCTCCCACACAGTCCAAAAACATGTTCAGGTTAATTGGTGGTTCTAAATTGTCCATAGGTGTGAATGTGAGTGTGCTTGGTTGTCTGTCTCTAAGTGTGGCCCTGTGATAGACTGGTGACCTGTCCAGGGTGTCCCCTGCCTTCACCCTAAGTCGGCTGGGATAGACCCCAGCGCCCCAATGAGCCTAGTGAGGATTCAGTGGTGTATAGGTATCGAATAGATATGGCTATGCACTTTTTCCACTAATGCTCTTACAACTACATCAAGGGTTGAACTCATAATACATGCTATATACATCAAAATTGTCAGTGTGGGCTTTCATATTTTTATGTCTGATTTCAGCACACCATTTACTACAAATCTCTCCAACTTGATAAAATACTGTTAGGTGTTTCATTAATGAATAACCCCACAGTTTACTGACCAGACATAGTTTTTCCTTGTTTTGAAGCACTGCGATTATCAGTTCATTCTCTAGATAATTCATCTAGTTTTTATTAGTTTTATTGTTGATGTCCTAAGATATTATTAACACAAGATTGCCTAATGGACTGCATCCATCATGGTAGTTATAAGGCAATCGTGTCCCGTGTCTATTTTAAATAAGCATTTGTGAAATGGTCATTGAACACATTTTTGAATATTTTTTTTCTTACATCTATTTCAATAGGCAGCCCCAGGCTCTAACAGGTTATTCTCCTCTAGGTGGAATTATTCATTGATTCCTCTAATCCCCCAGACAACACCCCCTCCAGACAACTCTTGAAACATCTCCTTCAGAAAAATTTATTTGCCACAAAAAAACTTTACAGACATAGGGTAGTCCACATAGTTACCAGAAAAATCAATGTAAAGACCCTTAATGACTGTTGCAGCTTTCTGAATTAAATGCCATCTGCTATTAAGCACAAACACATTCTAGAAAGACTCTAGTGTTACATCCTACAGCTAAATTAAGGTTATGTTCCTAATGATACAAACAATGAAATCAACACTTAAATTGACATTAATAATACAATGTATATTGCTGCCAAAAGAATACCACACGATTAGAAAAGTGTTAGGGTTGTGGTTAACATAAACGAAAACACTGGCTGCAAAACTTAATAATTCAACCAAGTCAAAAGTATAGCACATTACATCACTCCATGTAAGATACACAGATCTTTGTTAAAATTTATAAGTGTACATCAACAGTGAATGCATTACTAAGAAGACTATGAGTTCAGGAGACTATAAGTGAAAGTACACAAATTCTATTGTGGCTCTTTTGTATAATAAAATTCACTTTGAGTATTTCACAGATTTAAAAAAGACAAATTTGTGTTATTTCACATTACTTCTATTTGTAGTGGAGTTAAAAACAAACAAACAAACAAAAAAACTACCAAAATCTACCAAAAGCTTTTTTTCCCCCCTTTATTATGTTACCAGGGAAAATACCGAAGCATATAAAAAAAATAAAATAAAAAGAAATCTATGTTTGGTCTGATTTGGTGAAAAATATATATTTTTAAAAAATGTCACATCAAGCCTGATATTGAAAATAGATACAAACATTTATTTTTAAGAAATATAGGAAAATGTTTATAATATAAAATATTCATTCGTCATTTGTAAGAATGGTTATTAAAAATGTTAATTCAGAATTTTTAAGAAACAGTCAAAAGAAATCCAATATTGTACCATTCCGTTTTTTTCATGGCGACCTGCATTTGACTATTGAAAATTGAGCAACACAAAGCTCTGTAAACTATTAATCAAATTTGATGTTTTAAAACACAAATACATTTGAAATTCAGATACAAAGAGGCAAAAACATTTTTCAAAAATCCATTCTAAGTATGAAGTTGCAGATACAATATCCATTCGATGTCCAGTCTTCAAATATTTTCTTAGATTTAGGCAGACTTTTTAACAGCAGTGTGCCATGACTGCATAAATACATCAAAATATAATGACTTAGCTTCTAATGGATATCTGAAAAAAAGGTTACGACAGGTTAGGACTATCAGATAGCTAAATATGTTCTGCTCCCCCATCTTGATGGTTTGCGAGGTAATAAGGAATGTGTTTGTGATTGGTAGGCAAAAGGGTGTAATCCCAAATTATGTTAAATTGTTTTTTTTTTCTCCATGAATAACAATGTATTTTTGGCCGAAGCCTCTTCATTCCCACCACGATGGGCTCTATGGAATGTTCATATTAAATGTCATTAATCTCAATGAAATGATGAGACTGGGTTTTTTGCACACTTCCATTGATCGTCTGAACAGGGTCAAGGTGTTCTTTACTTATTGTGTAGATTAAACAACACAGTGACAATGATGCAGCAGGTAATTGCATCCAATTTACTTATCATGCCATTCAAATGGTGCTATCAGTGCACATTATCAGAGGTTAGAGGGGATTGAGGAAGCATAAATCAATCAGGAGATTTGAATTTGAGTCCCACTTCAGACCAGAATTATTGCTTTATTTATTGACTTAAATGTCCTTTTGACCTCTGCATTCATTTGCTGTTTTTCACTTGATGTTTCTGTAACATTAAGCATCAAAACTACTTGTCTAGATCTAAAGAAATTGGTTTGGGTTAAGCGTACACCCTGTTGTTATGTTTACCAGGTGTTTGAGAGCTCCATTTTGTCCAATACTTCATGGGCTGATAGTATCCAAATCATGTGGTAGTTCCTACTAGGACAAGGGGAAATCACCAAATTTTCATATCATTCTTGACTGTCTCATTCACAACACTAGTGCTCACTTAACAGTTATTTCGTAAACACACTTGTGGACAAAATAAATCTTCAAATAATCCTTTTAAAATTATTCACACTAGACAAACAGAAAGTCAAGCATTTGGACCTGTGTTTTCAGAATAGCTTTCTATTGCTTTGGTTCTTTTTACAGGTATGCCCACACTGGACATGGATTATTTTTAATGTACCAGCTCTTTCTTGTTGGCACCCACAACTGCCTCTGTCTGGCCAGCATTCTCACTGTCCTTGCGGTAACTCATAGCTGAGTTACATAGTTGACAACTGCTAGCTTCTACTTGGGAGTGAGTATACAAATTGCATGTGAGTGGAGTGTGCAGAAGCAACACATCCTGTCCCGAAGTCAGGTCCATGGTGAAGGGGGTAGAACGGCCAAAGTAAAATAGCAAATTTGCATAGATAGTGGCTTTGAGACAAGACTACATCACAAGGTGATGGTGACTATATCACAAAGATAATAATGCCAGTCATTAACATGTACTGTTAAAATATGGACATAAACAGTACATATTTTTAACATGTACTCTTAATGCCTGGCATAATAATCTTATTATGTAACAAGAACACATGTAGCAAAGAGTCCTGAAATCCATGTACTGACTAATGCCAGTAACAAAGTAATATCTACAGTATTGAATGTTTACAACAGCCAGCATGAGCCACCATAAGCTAGTGCTTATACCAGACTAACTACGGCATTGCCACAACATTTCACACTACTTCTTGCGTTTTATTGGCGTATGCAAAGGTTCCTGAACTCTGCTGGATCGCTTGAATTTGTGAGTTGGTGTTACCTCAGTACTTTTTCTTTTGCAGGGACTTCCCCTCTTAGATGATGGAGGGCCCTTTTCTTCATCAGACAAAGACTCCTCTGCTTTCTGAACTTTGGTACTACTGCGTCTGGATCTAGACCGAGGTGTAATTATTACTGAGGGAATTGTCCTCTGTCTTAAAACTCTCTTTCCAATGACAATTGGCTCCACTTCGTCCGCTGACATATTTTGCTCATCCTTCTCGTGCTTTTGTCTGACACCTGGTGTCTCTACCTCTTCATCTGTGTCTAATGTTGAAATCAGGAGGTTCACCTTTTCACCAGCTTTCACAGCATTTTCTAGGTTTTCTTCTTTACTGCTTTCCTGTAGCCTCTTTATTTCTTGATTGTCAGAAAGTTCATCTGTCATGTTGTCTTTGTCTTCATCTCTTTCCACTTTGTCCTCTTCCTCCTTGTCAGCGACTGACTCAGTCTCATCTCCCAATGACTCTGCTGCTCTGGAGTCAGATGTTTCCTTATCTATATACTCATGTCCAGTTGATGATGTTTCCTCATTTTCTGCTTGTTCCTCTTGTAGCTCTCGTTTTTCATGTGAATTATCAGTTAGTGGATGCACTTGTTGTGTTTCCACATCCCCTAGGCTTTCCTCTTCCAGCTGCTCAGGCTTAGTCTTAACTGGTTCTTGGTCTTTCTGACCTCTGGCATGTGATGTTTTTGTTTTGCTCCTTAGTGATATTTCTGTTGCAGCTGGAGCTTCTTTCTCTGCCACCACATCAGCACCTTCGACCATTGCCTTAGATACCATCTCTGTCATGGTAGTGAATTTTTCTACGTCTGTGATTTCCTCTTCCACAGTTGAGTTTGTCTCTTCTACTTCAGCTGATGAAATCTGGATTACGTCTCCTCCTGGTGAACTCTCAGCTTCTCCCTGTTCTGCATCATTACTACTCTCTACCTCCATTCCCATTCTCTTTCCTTCTTCCTCTGCTTTCTTCCATTTCTTCTCAGGTGATCCCTGCCCTACCTCATGTTCCTCTCTTACCATCTCATTTGCAGGAGCAGTTTCTTCTTCCCTCTGTTCCTCTGGCTGACACTGTCTTTTGTTTGTTTTTCTGGGTGTGGCAGCAAAAGACCTCCTTCCCTTCCTCAGAGTTCTTGTTGCTACTGTATCTGTATCTGCACTCTTCTCCACTAGCGACTCCACTGGTGCATTTTGTTCATGATGGCTATCTGTGGTTTTGAAAACTGGTTTGGTTTTGACTACCTTCCCACCACTTCTAAGAACTCTTGTTTCAACAGCTGGTGCTTTTTCCTCATCACTAACTTTTTCCACATTTGTATTCAGTAAGTCTTCAGTGTCATCTTTCTGAGATGTATCTTCGTCACCATCCTTTTCTTGTCTTTCTTCCTTTTTGACTGGTTCTTGCTCTGCGAGGGAAACCCCTGCCACAGTTTTTACTTGTTCAGTCTCAACTTCTGGCTCTGGAGTTTCATCTTTTTGAACTACAGCTTCTTCATTCTTGTCTTCAATTTTGTTTTCTCTGGATTTCGTTTTTTCTTCTGCTTTTTCCAGCACTGCTTTGGTTTCGTCAACTTGTAACTCTTCAGCTACATTGTTTTTCTCTATGTCTTCTTTTGTCTGTTTTGATTGTCCAGATGTGGCCGCAGACAGTCTTTCCTCCCTCACAACTCTTTCTTCTGCTGGTTTATCTGCTTTGCTTTTCACTCCATCTGCCTCCTCTTCTTGCTCACCATCTCGTCTATTTGTGGTTTTGATTGTTGCTGTGGCTCTCACTGTTTTCTGACTGTTTCTCAGAACTCTTGTTTCAATAACTGGTGTTTCTTCCTCATAGCTACCTTGTACCTGGTCATCATTTGCTGTGAGCAGTTTGTTATCTAAACTTTCTTCAGCTGCTGTTTCATCCACTTCTGAGGTTGACTGTTCCCCCTCCA